AAATATAATATAAATAGTTTTAATTTTATAATTTATAATTATTTTTATTATTTAAAAGTATTTAGATTTAAAGTTAATTTACAGAATAAAAAGATCTTATTTATAAGAAATAAAATAAATATAAATATGAATAAATTAATAATGATTTATAAATAAAATACATATAGATTAAATAAAATTAATTAATTTAATTTATATCTTTAAAGAGTAACTAATCATAATTTAATAATTAATAATATAATAAATAATAATATAAATAATAGTAAATAAGAATGAATAAAAAGATAAAAGAATTTTTAAAAGAAATCTAATTAAAAATATTAATTATCTAAATTAATAATATAGATATATATAATAATCATTTATATAATAATATATTAAATCTAATATATTAAATATATAAATGATTATCTATATATTCAGAATAAAATTGATCTTTATAAAAAATAATATAAAAATTAATCTGTTATACAAATAATATAAAATAAAGATTTAAGCTAAAGAGAGATAATCTAATCAAAATTATTATATTTTAATATATAATTACATAAAATTATTATTATATTAATATATTTATAATCTTAAAAAATTTTATTTTTATTATTCTAAAGAATATAATATCAAATTTTAAATTTTTAGTAATTTCTTATTAAGTTATAAGTAAAAAATATATTTATCATTACTTTTTATACTAATATATATAGAATTAATTAGAAAATATATTATAATTATAATTAAAATTTATAATAATATTATTTATAATATTTAAATTTATTTTAAAAAAATTTTTTTTACTAAATGTAAGATTATTTGTTAATACTTATAAATAAAATAAAATATAAAATAAATAGTTTTAATTTATAAAACTTATAATTTTATTATTTGAATAGTATTCAAATCTAAAATAAAAATACGGAATAGAAAGAATCTATTTATAAAAATTAAAATAAATATAAAATATAAATAAATTAATAATTAAAATATATATAAGTTAAACAGAATTAATTAATTTAAATTATAACTTTAAAGAGTAACTATTATAATTTAATAACTAATAATAATTATAATAATAAATAATAATATAATTATTATCAATAGTATTTTATTACTTAATTTTAATTATTTTTGAAATATTATATATTATAATCAAATTTTTCTCTTTAAATACAAGTTTAAACTCTAATTTAAATATATATTTAATCTTTATAAATATAATATTTCTTATTATTTTCTAAATATATAATATTAAAAAGCTAATTTAAGTAAGTTATATTTAAAAAGATTTAATTATATTTTAAAAGATGAATTAGCTAGCAAATTAATATTTATTCAAATATCTATTTAAAAAATATTTTATTATTTTTCAAGAAAAAAGAATTAACATTAATATACTCTAGAAATAAAGCAAAAAGAAAAAGAAAAAATATAATTTTATTAGTTAATAATTATATATAATAATAATAACTTTATAAAAAAATATAATAATTAAAAAGAAAAGATAATTCTTAATAAAAATATATATATATATTCTCATAATTATACAAGCTAATAAAATACAAATAAAATTATTTATAAATATTTATTATTTTTTAATCATATATATTAATACTCTAATCATATAAAAAAACTGAAAATTATTTTTATAATATACAAATATATATAAAATAAATCAAAATAAAAATTAACTTATATTTTAAAATGTTTTAAATTACTTTCATAACTCAATATAATCCTAAAAATAATTAACTCTCTAATAAGAATATATTTATATTTTGAAATATAAATATAATATTCAAAAATATAATATATATATTTATTTTTTTGAATTTCATTCTAAAGATATATGTATTATAATTTGCTAGAATTTATCATATTAAATGACTATATGATAATTATTTTATTATTTACATATACAAGTATATATATATTATACATGATACTAATATATATTATTTACTTTTTCATAAATAACATATTGAATCTGTGATATATTTACCTATAATATATTATTTATATCAATAAATTAAATATTTTAGATAAAATCATTTATGATTTTAAATTTTTCAAAAAATAGTAATATATATACTAAAATAAACATTATTAATATCATCATCATTTCAAATCTACTGATCAAATATTTCATCAAAGTTTTCTCATTTCTAATTGATGGTAAATTCACAATATTTTTAGCAATACTAATTAATTAAACTTGATATCAAATGATAATATCCTTATTATGATCTGATATTTTAACTTATAATTATAAAAATAAATTTTTAAGATACATAAATAAGAAAGAATATCAAGAGTTAATTAATTTCAGAATCAACTATGCAGCATCTTGTTCTCATTTAGTTTTTCTGTATTCTGCATTTTATTAAAGAAATCAATTGGTCAAGTCTCAAATATTTGATTTATTATGATACTTTAAATCATAATATATATATCTTTGCAAATTCAATTTGGATAAAATATTTTATATTGCAAATATGAAAAAGAAAATTGTAACATATAATCTTTTGAATTACCAATTTAGCAAGGCAAATAAAGATATCATGATTTCTCTTTTCTGAAATTTATGATATTACAAATTTATCTGTTACATTGGCCAATCTTAAAGAAGTGATACTGCAAGAAGAACATGGCCAATATCCTAATAATCTCATGAATATTAGTGAATTAGTTCTTGAATTAAAGTTTTATAACTATTATATCACATTTTTGAGATAATAATTAAAGTGCTATTTATTATCTTTGCTATTTAATTAAATCAAAAAAATATATAAAGATCACATCACTTTGAATATTAAAAGAAAATAAAATTAAAGTAGTAATAACTAGCATATATTTAGATTTACTTACTAGACACTTTGGATTTGATAGAACTTATCAATGAATAGCTATTAGATATTGGTAAAATGGAATGGAAATAGATAAAAAACTAAAGCTTTTATACTTAGATAAAGCTTGCAGAATCTTTCAAAATAAAATAAAAGAGTATGACTTATTTAAAGTAGAGATCTTCTACTACTCATATTTTTAAGACAAGTACAAATCTGGCAAAGACAATGTAGTCGCAGATGCACTCTCATGCCAATTACACCTAGCCAATATTTCAGTTATTATCAAAGCATATTATTTTTTTAAGTTTTGACGAAAATATTTATAATTCTTTCCACTTTTAAGCCATGTTGGAACTTTTTAGATTGTCTCGAATTTGTGAATTCTAAAATTTCAAATAAGATAATCACTCTATTTTGCAATCTTGGTGCATTAAATGAATTAACATTCACTTCTTATCAAGGAGATCTCATATTCAGTGCAACTGTAAAATTTTTGAAAACGTCCCAGCTAAAATTTCTGCAGCAATTATATTTTAATTGTTCTGAAATAAATCATTGAAATCTTGATCTCATTGATAAGGATTTCTGAAATCACCTTGGAAAAGCTTACTGTTCCCAGAGATTGCAATGCATTACTTAGTTGCATTGCGGATTATGCTACCAATCCTTCATGACCTTTACACTCCAACAGTTCAACCGTTCCTTCAAGCAATTACGAAATTTCAGTGCCTAAAGCAGCTTTCGATCTTACGATCACTGGATATTGAGCCTTTTCCAAATAATTTCTGAATAAAATTATTGGAAAGCAAGATTAATGCATTATACTTCAAATCTTTATGCTCAACATCACAAGTACTCACGACTTTATTGTCTAATCAAACCAAACCTTTAAAAAAAGCTTGGATTAGGCCAAATTGTTGATTTTTCTAATCAGCATTTACGTTCTATACTCGATATCTGTTAAGAACGGCAAATTTATCTCAATCCATTTTTACCATCCACTTATCTTTATAAATTTGATTCGTTCTTGATCAAACCGCTTAAAGGAGTGGGTGAAACTTATGTCCCTCAAGGAATTCAATGTAATTGATGCTTATCGTTATAGATTCATCAATAATTGAGCATTGATAAGTAACTAGAAAGCAATTGAATTTAGTGTTGTTTTCGATTCAAAGCTACTATTATTTTGTTTTTTCTATCAAAGATTCGATTCTTTTTAAATTTTTAATTATCATAATATAATTATTTTAAAGATTAATAGAGTCACCTTCTATGTTTCAAGTATTCAAACAAAGATAAAAACGAACTGATCAGTGTTGATTTCTCAAGAGAATTAAGTTTGATTTTGACCTCCACAGTGGTAAAACACTGTTCATTCATTAACAGTCAAAAAACATATCGTCATAGTGGTCGTTAGAAGACATGGAAACAGTTTGAAAATATTATAATATATAAATAAAATATAATTTTACATATAATATAACTATAATATAATATTTTCACAAAGTTTTTTTTTTGAAACTTTATGACAACGAGAATAAATTTTGGATTCACTAAGAGAATTAAAATCAAATCTTCGTAGGCAAGCAAATAAAAGTAGGATAACGATAAGATGGTAGAATCTATATCGATATACAGTCCATATAAATCACTGATGCTTTTAAGACTCCTGAGCTGCTGGGAATAAATCAAATGTGAAAGTATAAAAGATGTGAACATCTATATCGATATATAATTTATATAATTACTATGACCTTTAGGCAAATATGCTGATTTCTTTGAGACTCACAAGCTGCTGAGAACGAATCAGATGTTCCCAGCCGCGCGATAAGCAAATCCACAAAAGAACAATTAATCTTCTTGGTCAGCTTCATGGGTGAACACGGGGATATACAACTCAGAACTTTACACAGTTTAATCTGGAAAAGATACTGTGAAATTAACAGTTACAAATGTTGGAGCACGAGCGGTAAGTGGAATCATCAATTATGCTTGGACTTGGACAATGTTAAAGTTGTAATTAAGCCTCCAGCTGATTTAGATAATGATTCTCGGGATTTATCATCTTCTCGGATAAAGCTAATAAATCGTACAGTGTTCTGTATATGAGAACGAAGGAATACGCGAAACACAGCAATCCTGAAATAGGGTAAATTTTTTAATTTTTTATTTGCTTTTATAATTTTTTACACTTCCAACTCGTACAGCGTTCTGAATCGATATAATTTTTCAATCTCATATACAAAGCACAACCTTTCAAAATACGACAATACGCGAAGCACAGCAATCATGAATAACACATTTTCCCCCGTATTCTTTTATATTATCTTTTTTTTAAAAAATCACAATGTTTACTACGCGCTTAGAAAGTGTTTACATGTACTATGCGCGATGGGAAAATAGTGTTATTATACAGATTAAATATCTTGAAAAGGTGGTTTTGGGTCAATATATAAACAACCTGGCTGGATCAAGAAGAAAATAAATTATAATAATATTCACACATGGAATTTGAATGTACACACATACACAACTATGACAACGATTATCTTATTTGTTTACTACCATTTTAACCCAATTCATGTATCGTAAAGTCCCGATAATAAGCAACCCCCTAAAATAAGCAACCCCCCCCCCCCCTTCAGACCCAAAAGTACTAGAAAAGTTGAATAAGCAACCCCTATTTGTGATAGTAATTTTTAATATATAGCAGTAAATATTTTCGAGTATTTCGATAACCAGTGAGCAGATTCAAGCGAAAAAAC